GATTACTAACACAGTGAGAACGGAGGCTCTTTTTCGCAGGATTTTGACCGTTTCACTCCGTTCTTTCGCCATTTCCCCACTATATAGCCCTACTAGCATTTTAGGCCGAGCACCCAATCATCGTGCCAACTGCCTTTAAAGAGGTTTCCGGCTAGAGAGGCAGACGTCTTTGAAAAATGAACCCTTCTGATTCCATAGGGCTATAATGATCTGTCGTCGTTCCGCTACTGTCGTCTGTTTTGAGGATTATTCTTTTTGTTAATCAGGTCAGATCACACGGACTCGGACCTTTATTGAAAAGCCGCCAAAATGGCAAAGACTTAAGGAAGTCAACATCATTATTCAAACAATTGAGTTCTTCTTACACACGAATGCACGCAGTACGACGTTGCACTCCTCGTTATTCCAGGTTTCGTACCAGCCGTGATCAGAAGTATCTTGCGCCAGCTGAAACCCATGCATCAAAATTAAAGACGAGAAGGTCGATGAAGAAAAGAACACGATTATTAGCAAGTGCACCTCACCGATGTACAATCTTGGCATCGTATTAAACGCCTAGTACTGTTATCAAGCCAATTCCTCGTACACCGTATACCAAAAACGCTCTAATCCCATTAATTTGATGGAAGAATTTTGTGCTTCACAAAAAGGCAACCACACTGTCTCACTAGTAAAAAAGCACTCGCGCTGTGGCACACTTGGAGGCCAGGTAAACGTGCAATGAAATCACCCTTACCTCAACGCAATTTTCCTTCCCTGGGTTATCAGGCTGCTTTGGTGCCCAGTTGATATAGTCTGTCTTGGTATTATCTGACCACTGCCAGCCATTACCTAAACTCTAACGAATGGCTAAATGCAAATAACCAAAACGAGTGATGAAACACTAAAGACTTACCGACAGCCTTCAATCCAATCCACGTCAGATCGTCCGGATTAGTTAACTTCATGTTGGTCCTAGCGAGATCTGAAAGAATCTCAAAAGTGATAAAATGCCAATCTGTTCATCACCTCCTGTGAATCCTAGCGTCCTGCCATTTGCCATCGCGTCCAATATTCGCAGCAGCGCACTTTCTTCCTCAGTGCACGGAATGGCCGGAGGGTAATGATACCTGATTGCCGTCTCCTGAAACGCGCACATTTGGCTGTACAGCCAGCACACGCTTGAGCATTAGCCCTACATCGCTACTTGATCTGCTCGCCCTCTACACGTTCTTGCTTGGTCTCTTCCGGCTGAGCTGTGATATTCGCGTGCAATTTGGGCGTTGACCTAAGCGCTGTATAATTGATGGTAGCAGGGGCGGGGTCGTGAGACAACATTCATATATTGCTACCCTCGAGCGTCCCGTGGGTTTTACAGCGTGAAGTGGCTCGTTACAGCAGTCGCCGACCCGTTCGCCTCACAAATGGCAAGGACCTAAGGGTGCAGCTTGTCTTGAGGAAGTAATAACTGATCAGTTTTGCACGACTCTTTTCGGACGAAAATAGCATCCAAAGCATGGACGGGCCATATACTCACTAGCAACAAAGGTATTCTCCTGTTCCGAATGGATTGAAGCGAGATGGCCACCTTGCTCTACACAGAACGCCTCAGCGTCGTCCCATTTCTGTCCGAAGAAAACCTAAATATGAGCCTACTTGTTGGATGACATCTTCAACAGGAAGGTCTGAAGCGCAGGGTTTCCCCATTGTATCAGGTTGTCTCACCTTGAAACAAGAGCTGGTCTGTGAGAAATATGTCCATTCAGAGTCGCAATGTGGTGTACATTGGCGAGGTGTGCACACAGCCTGCGTAGGCACAGCTACGGCTAAAAACAACTGTTGATCATTGTTATTAGGCCATATGAACTTTAAAGGCAGTGTTACGATGACTGGAGGCGGGCGGTTTTTGCCAGCGTCATTGGTGGAAGCGGTGCGAGAGGGTGTTTGGCCCTAACTGCTCAACCATTCCCACGGCCAGCCCCCAGTCGCGCCCCACTGCCATTAAAGTTTGATTAACACTGTCAGGATGCAACGTTCATATAACTTCCTTTCAGTATCGTAGCATCATTCAAATTATGGGAGCAGTTCGGCCGAAGAGGGGGGCCTTCTACACTTTCGCTATTCTTATTGCCTGTCGAGACATCTAGAGATTTGTGAAATCAGGTGAAGCCATGAAGTAATACCACTTTAACTTCGTGGATACCTATGCCTGCCAAACCTTGACACTTGAACAACGGAAAGGAGCGGAGAGCCCCCCCCCGGGACAACCCGAGCCAAATTATGCATTATTTTCATAG